GCATAGGAAATAGGGATGTGTCTGATCTCCAAGCCTCTAAGAGCATCGACATGTTCTGCTGGTAAAAGAACCATCCCAGTGCCACAGGTAATTCAGTCACTGAGCTGTGATTTACTCCTTCAGAGAAAGCAGATGAATATTCTGAGGCGAGAATGTCCTCTTTCTTTGGAAGTGGGATAGAAAAGAGGTTGAAATTAGCTTGGGATTTTCCTGGAAAGGCTTTTTTTTTTAATGAGCAGATTCCTTGAAACCTGAATTGCTGTTCTGAAATCTTCACTTTCTGCCTGTCAGCATGGGGGATTTCTAGAAAGAATGGTGAACCCATCCCAAATCTATCAGCTGCACATCTGTCTCACCTGGCAGCAGTGAGAAGCGCTGTGAAATGTAGGAGATGAAGGGTCTGAAGCTCAGTCAGTGCTAAGCATTGCAGTGCAATCTGTCCCAGCAAGCTTCCTCCAGAGCAGCTATTAACAGCAAATTGTTCAGAGCCACAAATATCCCTTCTTTCTTATTAGCATAAGCTCTGGAGAAGCCAACTGCACTGTAGAAAATCTCATGATTGGCAGAGAGCCCAGAGAACCTACCTCAGCTCTCATGAAATACGAAGGGCAGAGGGAGTCCAAATTCTTGAGGTACTCAAAGGAGTGGAGTCTGTCTGCCACTGCGATGCAGTGGGAACTGTCACTCACAGATGTCTCATAGGCATCTTGCCCATCTCTTGTTGGAAGGAAGCCTCTGGTTGGAAGTTACGTCTGGTGAAGAGTATTGATTTAGGTGATAAAGATTAGAAACAGAATATATATGTATATATATATATATGGTAGCACAATAGGTGTGTGCTAGCATATCCTAGAATCATAGAATGGTCTGGATTGAAAAGGACCACAGTGCTCATCCAGTTCCAACCCCCTGCTGTGTGCAGGTCACCAACCAGCAGCCCAGGCTGCCCAGAGCCACATCCAGCCTGGCCTTGAATACCTGCAGGGATGGGGCATCCACAGCCTCCTTGGGCAACCTGTTGCAGTGCCTCACCACCCTCTGGGTGAAATATGCAGCTTTTCCAGCTGCCATGGCTACTGTGGGGCTGACACCATTGGTACAGTGGCTTACCTGGCATGGAATGGTGCAGTGGATTTACCTGGAAAGTGTTCAGTAATTCTTAGAGGCAGAAAGGTTCGGCCTGGAGAAAAGAAGGCTGCAGGCTGACCTCATTGCAACCATTCCTAAAGGTAGCCTACAAACAGGAGGAGAACCAACTCTTTGAAAGGGTAAATAACTGCAGGATGAGGGGAAATGGTTTGAAGTTGAGAGAGGGAAAATTGAGGTTGGATGTCAGGAGGAAATTCTTTACTGTGAGTGGTGAGGTGCTGGAACAGCTGCCCAGAGAGGCTGTGATGCCCCGTCCATCCCTGGAGGTGTTCAAGGCCGGGTTGGATGGGGCCCTGGGCAGCCTGGGCTGGTGCGAAATGTGGAGGTTGGTGGCCCTGCGTGTGGCAGGGGGCTGGAGATTCATCATCCTTGGGGTCCCTTCCAACCCTGGCCATTCTGTGATCCTGTGAAAGGGAGGGAGGAGAAGGGACTGACAGCATCAGGAAGCGCTCTTAGAGACACCTGTGCTCCCTACCCCTAAGTACCCAAAGATCGCAAGCAAAAATGCTTTTATTCCCCCCTTTTGGAACCATCGCTCCGCTCGCAGCCCCTCCCCGGGCCGCCCCGCTGCAGTGCTGCCGTGTCGGCGGGGGGCGGCGGGCGAGAGCCGGGCTGTGTGCGGGCCGAGAGGCAGCAGGAGGAGGAGGAGGAGAGGAGAAAGGGAGAGGAGGAGGAGGGCGGCTCGCCCGCTGCCCCCCCGCTGCCCGCCGGCCCCGGGGCTGGGTGCCGCGGCGGCCCCGCTGCCCAGCGCGGCGGGGGGCGGCGGGAGGATGCGCGCGGGGCGGGAGGCGGCGGCGGAGGCGGCGAAGGGCTGCCGTTCCCGGGTCGGGCAGCTAGAGAGCAGTGCAGGGAGCGGAATCCCGGCCCAGGAGCGTGGCGGCGGCGGCGGCGGCGGCCGGGCGCTACGAGCTGCCTTCCTGTGCGGGGCGGCCGCGGGCTGGAGGCGCTGAGCGGAGCCCCGGGCCGCCTCCCCGCAGCGCGCTGTTCGCCCGCCGCGCTGCCCTCTCCCATGGCGGAGACTAAAATCATTTATCACATCGACGAAGAGGAAACCCCTTATCTGGTGAAGCTGCCCGTCCCTCCGGAAAAAGTCACTTTAGCCGATTTTAAAAATGTCCTCAGCAACCGGCCCGTGCACAGCTACAAATTCTTCTTTAAATCCATGGATCAGGATTTCGGGTAAGCCGGCCGCCCAGGTGGCGATGCCGTTTCGGGGAGGTGAGGGGGTCGGGGGGGGTCCCGGTTGCTCCGTTCCGCCTTTCCCTCTGACAGCCCGGATGGGAGAGCACCTGCTGGGCTGGATGGAGGCGGGCGGGCGCTTCCCGCGATGAGGGGCTGCGGTTGGAAGCTCCGCTCAGCGCCCCGAGCCGCGCATTGCGGCACCCGCTGGGCTGGAGGCCCCGCCGGCGGCTGGCGGGGAAGGGGGGGGAGCGGCGGCCGCTAATATGGCGGCCCCGGCTCTGACAGCTCCCCGCCCGGCCGTTCGGAGGCCTCGGCTCGAGCGAGGCTCCGTGCTGAGGTCGGGGCCTGCAAAACGCGTCTCCTTTTGGGGCTGTGCTCGATGCCGGCTCGTGCTGCTTCTCCTCGCGGCTCTCCCAGCCCACCGGCTGCTGTCAGAGCTCCGGTGCCTTTCGGGCGGTGTTTGTGGCCGAGTTCCGCCGTTCTCCCTGCCCGCGTACCGGCCTTATCTACGGTCGATAAAAGAAAAGCGATAAAAAAAAGCCGTTCTGACAGCTCGTAACTTTCAAAACCCATTAAGCCCTTTGTAGCAAATCGCTTCTCTTTGTACTCGCGTCTGTCGCTGGCACGGCGATTTTTATTTCACGTATCAACGCCTCGCCAGCAGAAAAGCGCAGGTCTGTGGAATACTAACGCCAGAGCCGAGCAACGGAGGGGCTGGGTGGTGAAACACATCGCCCTGTTACGTCCCCTATCCCCGAGACCCAGAGATACCCCTTTTCTGCTCCATCCACCGCGGAATGTGGACGTTGTTTGTTGACACGTATTTCTGATGTGGCAATTCGTTAGCGTTGGCACGCCGCTGTAGGGATTGCTGGCATTGCTCGTGCGTTGACTTGTTGTTGATCGGGATTGTGAAAACACGCTTTGGGAAACAGCTACACGAAATGTTTGTTTTCAAAATACAGCTTTTGAAAATGCCTGTTCGTAAATTTCTCTCCTCCCCCCCCCCCCCCCCCCCCAAATGATGGGGACGTTTAGGAATCCTGGCTCGATGTTTTTGTGGTGCAGCCTCAATGAAGGATGATGGATTTGTTCAGGCAGCGTTTGTGTTCGTTGCCACTGCTTGCAGATGTTTGGGTGTGAGGGAGAGCGAAAGCGGTGCTGATGCTATTGGGTGTGCTGGTGGCATCCCTGGCACGTGTGGGCAGTAAATCCTGCGGTGGATTTGTCTCAAAACTTAAAGGGAGACGGGCTGTTCTCCTTGTCTTGCCCTAGAAATGGTGGAGGATGAAGGGCTGTCAATAGGTGGTTAGGCTTAGCACCGTAAATTCTGCTTCTCTCATTTAAACCGTGGTCTCAAATGTAACCGACCAAGACGGGGGCTTGTTTGTGAGGGATTATACAACATTAAGGTTGGAAATGATTACTAAGATAGTAAAATCCAACCCTACCTCCACTGTGCCCCACTGAACAGTGTCCCTCAATGCCACATCCAGGGACACCTCCAGTCATGGTGACTCCAGCACTTCATTGGGGGGTGGAGGATGACTGCGGACTGCGATGCAGTCAAGAGGTGTGAAACTGAATGTGAATCAGTTCAGCAGCAAATAGAGGTTTGTAACTTTGGGGCTAAAAAGGCTCGGAGGACCCCCATGGGATGCTGGCAGCTGAATGCATACGGAGGAGTACGCCCCTGACTTTGCTTGGGAGATTTGTGCTGGACCTCATGGTTCACCACAGGCTTACTGTGAACCCGTATGTCACCCTATATTATTAATTCCTGAATTTTCTCTAAGCTGTAGCAATCAGTTGTACATGAGCAATGCCACTGACTTTGTGGTGGTAGAGGCACACATCAGGGCCGGGTCACTTGTAGGATCGGGATGGTGTGTGAACCTGACTTGCGTTCCCACTGACATCTCTAACTGCCTTTTGACTTCCAGTAGAATTTTTACAGCTGAGTTATGATCCAAAATAGAATTGGATTTGTAATAAAAAAGCTAATGCACGATTTCACTGCGCTGACAACAGCACAACCACATCACAGCTCTTTCTCCTTCTGTGTCTGTAGGATGTATTCAGGGTTTTAGGATATCCTAAGAGCAAGCAGCACTTTTCCTTTCTCCCTTTTTCTTCTTCCTGCTGTCACCTTTTCAGTACCACAGAGCACCATCTTATCATGGGTTCATCTCTAATTCCCATGAAGACTGGCTGCTCTGCCCTCAGGATGAAGGTATGACCAAGGCTGCCATGATCCAATCTTCAAGAGTATTCCAACCAGCTTCAGTGTACACCACAGTCCAGGTGAAGGCTCTCACAGGTGCTGCTGCTGAGGCAGGAGCCCATCATCTGAAACAGCTGGAGGTAACCCACACCTCTGAAAGCTGTCAGTCGCATTTTGGTCTCTGTTTCACTTGTCAGCCAAACTGTTGTTGCTGGGATAATCTCAATTACCTGTGAAAATTAGAGAATTAGGAGGAATCCACTATCAGTCTCTGCAGTCTCAGCAAGCGTTAATGGTAAATTTGGGCTTTTCTCTTAATCTTATCTACAAGCTGACTTTCTTACTGTTGCAAATAGGTAATTATAGCTGCAGTCGTTACACCTGATTTCTGCCTTACCTGCTTGCAGATGCCCTCCAGAGAAGTGTGTTCTGTAAATGGCTCTTCAGCTGCAGTAACATTTTGGTTTTCAGTGCCCTCCTCGTCTGTCCCTGGTGTCACTGCATGCTGGCTGTGCAGAACTGTGATTTGGCACAAGCAGCACTGCTTGGCAGGGTGCTTCGTAAATCCCAGTATGGAGCAAAAAGTCATTCCTGTGTTAGGAAAGCAAATGTTTTCTTGGAGAAGTGGAGCCTCCTTGAGAAGCCAGTGATTGGGAACCAACGCAGCAACCCTGCACATGTTGTTGTAATTAAGGCCCGGCCTTTCCTGGATCCTGAAATAACGCAACAAATAATTGTGTTCAGAAACAGTGGATGTGTTGAATTGTTTCCAGCAGTGGAAGATAGAGTTGCTTACCATTGGGACAGAGCTGGATGTGGACGTGGAGCCATGTCAGGCTGTGCTGTGACAACAGAGCAGCGGTGAGTACCTGTGCTTCCAGCTGCCCTCCTTGGAAGGTGAGCTGAGGAAAGCTGCAGGAGTGGCAGGTTTCCTCCTGACTTCAGTTAGCCTTACAGCCTTAATGTTACCCTCTTGGTAAAGCTGTAGAAAATAGATCTAATGTGTAACTTTTTGGCTTTCCTGGCAGCGTTTCCTTGATAGAAAAACATCTTCCCATGCTGTTTTGTTTTCTGTCCTGATTTCTGTGCCACCTCTTGAGGGGATGGACCTGTCTGTGTTCTGCAAGCCCAGGCTTCCCTGTGGACTCTGTCCATAATGTCATATTGAGATGCAGAGCAGTTAGCTGTGTTCTCACTTGGACTTGACCCTTGGAAGTGCTTTGTAGTTTCTATTTCTGTTCTCATGAGTGGGAAGCTAAGCTGGAACGTCACGGGATTGGATTCATTAATGTGGTGGTATCTACCAAGAGGGAAATGTAGAGAAGGGGCTATTTGTGATGTGTGTTTTACGGGCAGGGAGCGCTGCTGTCGGCTGCCTTTGGTGCTCTCTTTCTTCCAGGGAAGGAGATGGGAGGTCACTTCCTACCACTGAAATTATTGATTCTGAGGTTACAGCTGCATGTCCTTGTAATGATGTATAATGCAATTTTGTTGATTCTTTGATGATTGAAAAATAACAGATAACGGATGCATCTTAAAGGAAGGCTATGGTTTGTGGCGCCGGGGCTGTCATGACTGCAGCTCTGACAGCTGCATAAACTGTGTAGGATCCAAGTGATTCATGATGAATCCGTGTGACAGATCCCATAATAGAAACACTGATCTGCCTGCTGTAAATATTTGGTATTTTCAGAGCTTTTCTTAATAGCACTGTTTTACACCATCATTCACTTCCAAAACCACAAAATTATAAATGCATGTTATTGGAGCATTCCCACCTTGGAGGCTTCGTTCTGTGGTTTTATCTGTAGGCAGTATAGGATGCTGTGCAGGAGATGCACAGGAAGGGCAGCTCCTTTGCACAAGTGGGTACAACGTGCTGCTGAATTTGGACCTTCTGCTCTCCTCCTCTCTGTTTGGGGAATCTGTCACAGTGCTGCTGGAGCAGAGCGAGCCACTCCTGTGCTCTGCAATCTCCATCCATCAAATTCCAAAGGAAGTCTGTCCTGCCATCCTTCTGGGTGAGGTTCAAGTCCTCATTCTTTCCATTGTGTGAACTAATATACTTTTCATTGTGCTTCTTTTGGGAGCACTTTGAGGAGTGGCTTTTTAGGCATTCCTTTGGCATCAACAAAAGAACTTCCTTTCTAACTGTACTTTTAGGTGCAGCTGTTTCTTGTGCAGAAATTGCTTTTCTTGGTACTCAGCATCTTGAAAACTAGTGATTGAAAGCAGCGGGAATCCAGCCTGGATGGGATTAAAATCTCTGTTTTTACCTTGCCCTTAAGGGAGATCTGACCAAGAGACAGGAATCACATTTGAGAAGTGTCTGATTGTAGGGATCTGGAATAGTTTAATCATTGGGAAAGCTTCTCGAGACAAGATATTGAAGGAGATACACTGGATGTGTCACCTAGAAAACAGCTTTGATCTGCATGTCAAATTCACAGAAGTCTGCACTCATGGAATATAACCAGGAAAGCCATTGTAAAATTCCTGCCAGCAAAGAAACATTGGGCAAAGGTGTGGAAGCCGAGTCTGAGCCACACTCCTGAAGGCTTTGGGGCTCAACTGTGAGCTTGGACAGCTGTTTTCCCCATTGGTTCAGGGCAGAAGTGGCTTTCAGGTGGGGATTTGCCTTTTAGCTGCACTCTCTTTAATGAGAAATTTTTGCTGGTGTTTCAGAGGGATCCTCCAAAGACTGAAGAGCAGCATGAAGAGGTGCGTCCCTCTGCTGCGATGGTGACAGGCTGTATTTTAGGTTGGTTGCAGGCAGTAGATTATCTTGTTTGGAACAGGATAAAAAGAAGGCAAGGGGTGCACATTTGCATTAGAAAACACGGAGCTGGTGGATTGATGTGCTAAAACTAACAGGTTGGGAAAGTGATCTTTGCAGCTCAGTGACAGAAGCATTGCTGCCAGCTGAAGGCCATGGCCAGGTTACCAACCTGAGTGATGGGCAGGTGGATGAGCAGGTAGGAGGTGCTGTGCCATGAACATTCAGCCTTGAGATACAAGTAAGGATCCCTTGATAATGCTCTGTGTGCTTGATTTCCCACGTGCATCTCTGCTTTCTGAGTCTCTTTTACCCTCAGTGTGACTGAGGGAAGAGGAGGGCTTAGGAAGGAGGAGCTCTGTGGAGGTAGAGATAACAGGGCCAGGTTTTGTGATGATTTGTGTCCTTTCAGGGTTAACCCTCTGCGTTTTCTCCCCCATTCCTTATCTCAGACTGCTTTGTTTGTAGATGCTGGGAGACATCTGAGGCACAGTCAGACTGGAGAGAAGCCAGCAGTTTACTGGGACATGGAGTTAAGGACTGGGGCTTCCACTAGTAATGCAGTCACATAATTAACCATATACGACTCTGCACATGCCTGTGGCATATTTATTGAAAGTATCTTTTGGATGGCAAGTGTGTTTGAACAGATGGAGCAGCAAATGGCATCCTTGGTGAGATGATTTTTTCCCCCCCTGTCTCCCCTTTTTGGCCACGGTTGCTGATCTGTAGGCTAAGAGGGAGGAGGAGGTGTGTAGGAGGAGGGAGCGGTTGCATAATAGTGCAAGTTGTCTGCAGGTCACGCTCGGGCAGCTGCTGTGTGTGATGGAGGTAGGGCAGAGCAAGGGGCGAATGCACAGCGTGTTGCTGAGCCCTGGGACCTCTGTGTCGTGGGGTAGCAGGTGCTGATCCCTGGTGAGCTCAACACGAGTCTGAGCTTCTCACTGGGTTTCAGCCAGCTTCCACGTGAGCTGTTCTGTCCCGTGAGCAATGCTGGTCTGAAAGTGAAGCTTGCAATGGTAGGAGCATGCCTTTTAGTACAGGATTTCCTCCAAAACAAAAAAAAAGAAAGACAAACCCCAACCAAGCTGTTAGGTGAAGTAGGTTGAGTTCAGAATTGCAGGGAATTTTATTTGTTCTTTAAGACTGCAAAAAGAACCAGCACAGGGATGTGTGGTCAGTGAAGGTTTCACCAGTACCTGCAGAAGGTTGGAGTGCTGTTAGTGGTGGAAGAAAACAGGACGTTGCACAGCTGAAGTACTGAGCTGAGACCTGGGAAATTGCAAAATAATTGCACTCAGCCCCAGCGTTAGGGTTGGACTCAGCTGAGCACTCAGACACACTGAGCATCAATTGAGGCCTCTGTTAGCTGCTGGCTTAATGAGGATAGTCTTTGCTTCTTTGGGGTTTTCCCATTTTCTTTGCTGAAATTCACAAACCTTTTTGTTTATACAGAGACCCTGCTCCTTATCCAGCACCTGGCTGTTTGCTGTTTGCTGCTTTGCTGTTTGCAGGCATCAGAAAGCACTGTTGTAATACAAATAAGAAAGATGCATACAAGAACACCATGCTAACAGACCCCAAAGGCCACAGCTTTTAACCACACTAGGTTAGCTTATGTGTATCATCAAACTGATGCTGATAGCTGTCTGCAGTACAAGCCATTGCTTATTTTAAAGTCCCAGCTGTAATGTGATCTAAATACTTAAAGCAGCCACTCTTTCTGCTGGAACCTGAGGACTGCTCTGCTCTGAGGGTGGAGTACGTTACATTTATTAAAGCTAATGCTATGAAAACATGCAAAAGGGTTACATCAGGTTTGGTCTGCTTCCTGTGGCTAGTGATCAGCAGCAGGACAAGTCAGAAAAACAAGTTTACTACTGTTCATTTAATGAACACCTCCCCAAAGCGAGAGCTCAGGTCTCTTCTTTCCAGAGCTCAGCCTTCAGCATGTGCACAGAGGCTGTACAGCTGTTGGAAGCATCAACCAGCTCTATAGGATGCGAGTTTGACACCTTATCTACAAGCTTGCTAATGAAAATATGTCTGTGAAGCAGGTTGAATTAAATGAGACTTATTAAGTAGTATTGTTTAATGATTATCACTGCTGTAGTCTGCTGCAGGAGCGTGAGCGGGCAGCCAGCACCAGAAGCAGACCCACATTCAGCATGGAGGAGTTGGCCATAAAAAGCAATGGAACAGATTCAAATTCTGAATTAAGGAATTCATTTACATGCAGTATTTCAGCCTGCAGAGATTTCCCTGGTAGATGAAGTGGGGCAGAGCTCACATAACTCACCATACCTTGTAGTCTTTAGAGCTGCTTGGTCCATTTTTAACATCTTTGGGGGAAGTGTGTAGGATGAATGTTTGCAATTACAGCAGGGAGTTGTGTTCGCAGCCTGCTCACCTGCCTTGTGAATGGGGAAACTGCAGCTTGTGTTCAGAAGGAGGCACCTCCTTTTGTGTTTGTAAAAGGGCAAGCTTGTTTTGGTTTGAACTTCAGCAGCACAGAGGTGGGTCTTTTCTCTCTGTGTTCGTGGAAAGCTGGAAAGGAGCAGCATTATCCTGGAAATTCAGAGTGGTGTAAGAGGTTCTGACATCCAGTCCTGCATGAAGCCAGGTTTAATTCCAAGTATCTTAAAGCCACGAAACCCTGAATCCCCTGTTTAGCCTTACACATGTATTGCTGCAGCTTGGCATCTAGCTTTTGGTTAAAATGCTTAATCTTAAAATGCTAAGATTTCAGGGTTTTGTTTGGGAAGAAAAGAAGAGCGAGGAAGCTGTTTGGGGAGCACCTGCTGAGCGCAGCCCTGCCCAGGGGATCCCAAGGTCAGCATTCCTTCAGCATCTCCACCTTTGAGCTGCAGGGACCCAAAGAGAACTTGAGAAGGCTCAGCGAGGTGGCAGTGTCCTTTTGGTGACCGATGGCTGCAGATAGGTGCAATCTGTGCTTGGTCCCAGGACATCCAACAGGGCCCTTCTCCTGGCAGGACTCAGCCTGCTGCCAGTCCTTTGTTGCCCTGTTGTGTTTTGTGGGGGTAGTTTGACTGTACTGAGTAATGGAGAAGAGGTGGATGCCCTC